GTAGTCTCGAATTGATTACAAGTTCTAGAACATCCTAATTAGTTCGGCACACACAAGTCAAACAATGAGTAAGAAAGAAATGTATGCTCGTTAAGCTCAAATCTTACAAGAAAAGTTTATCTGCACTGAGTCAAGTTCATCTCTATCGATAAAAGCATGAAATATCAATACTCAACAAAAAATTCACCAGCTATACCAATCACCAATCATGCAAATTAAATTCGATCAAAACATGATCACAATCCAAAAGGAAGCAAGAGTATAAAGCGAAGTTCAAAACTAGCAACCAACGATCCCAACATACCAACATCAGAATAACTCAATTTCAAACAATTAAACAAATCAAGGAAAAATTTGATGATATGCTTTTCCTTCCCCTCACTTAATCTTTTTGTCCCAAAACGTATATTAAATTGAAAAACAAAGAGAGGCAAAAGGAATACTCCCAATCTAGTGGCGACTGCGGCCACGACCACGTCGAAACGAGCTGTTGTAGAGGAGAATGTCCGATCGAGAAGCCACCAGAAGATATATTAAAAATTTATTGCACTGTTTGAATCTGCTGTGTTATTTTCTGCACTGTTCGAACAAAAAAATTTTTCTGCACTGTTCTGTTCAAACTTTTCTGCACAGTTCGAACCAAATCTATTTTTTTCCTGCACTGCATTGTTCGAATCTTTTATGTATTTTTCTGCATTGTTCAAATCAAATAAGTTTTTTCTGCACTGCATAGTTCGAATCTGCTCAAAAAATTAAATAAATAAGTAGAATGAAATAAAGTTTGCTAAAACTAAAACAAAAATAAAACGAAATGAAATAGAACGAAATGGGTGGCCTCCCATCAAACGCTTTTGTTTAACGTTGTTAGCTCGACGACCTGAATTTTCAGAGTGTGGGTTCCTATAATTTGATTTCTTCGATTAGACCAACCAGAGCATTTTCATAATACAACTTCAATCTTTGAGCATTAATTTTAAATCAAACTCCTGAGTTATCTTCAATTTCAACAGCACCGTGAGGAAATACTTGAGTAACTGTAAATGGTCCGAGCCATTTTGATTTGAGTTTTCCTGCAAAAAGTTTAAATTTTGAGTTAAATAAAAAAACCTTTTGACCGACAAAAAGTTTTAAAAGAAATTTTAATATCGTTAAATTCTTTTGTTTTTTCTTTAAATATCTGAGCGCTGACATATATATTTCTTCAGATTTCTTCAAGTTCTTGAATGTTTAATTTCCGAGCTTCACCAGTTGCATCCATGTCCATGTTACACTATTTAACGGCCCAATAAGCCCGATGTTCTAACTCAACTGATAAATGACATGGTTTACCGAAAATAAGCTGGTATGGTGACATGCTAATGGGACCTTTATAAGCGGTTTGATTACATCAGTTAATTTTAAACTCCAATCCTTTCGGCCCAGTTTAACAATTTTTTCAAGAATTATTTTAATTTCCCGATTTAATACTTCTGTCTGTCCATTTGTTTATGGTTGGTAAGCACTGTCAATTCTTTGAGTTACTCCAAATTTCTTCATTAGCGATTCAATCACTCAGTTTATTAAATGTGTTCCTCTGTTTCTTATTATAGCCCTTGGCGTGCCAAACCTGGAAAAATAATATTTTTCAAAAAATTAACTATAGTTTTAGCATCATTATTCTGAGTGGCCTTAGCTTCTACAAATTTAGAAACATAATCTACAACTAAAATAATATAGGTATTTCCAAATGACAAAACAAAAGGACCCATATAATCTATTCCCAAACATAAAAAATTTCACAAACTTATATAGAATTAAGCGAAATTTCATTCCTACGGCTTAAATTACCTGTACATTGACATCTTTCACAAGTTTTACAAAATAGATAAGAGTCCCGAAATATGTTAGGCCAAAAGAAAACACATTCAAGAATTTTATGAGCTGTACGTTTTGGCCCAAAATGACCACCGCAAGAGTAAGAATGACAAGTAAAATTGAATTTACCTTACTTTCGGCAATACATCTACGAATTACCTGATTCGAGCAGTGCTTCCATAAATAAGGATCGTCCCAAATATAATATCAGGATTCACGCTTAATTCGATTGATTTCAGCTCTTGGCAAATCTAATGGTAACTTACCTGTGGCTAAATAATTAACCATGTCCGCAAATCATGGGGTTATTCTTTGCGCCACCATAAATATTTCTTCATGAAATTCTTCTCTAAGGGGTAGGTCAGATATGGAAAGGGGAATTTGACTCAAGTGATCCTCTCATAGATTTTTGCATCCATTTTTGTGTTTAATTTCCAAGTTAAACTCTAGTAAAAGCAGGCTCCATCAAATAAGCCTCGACTTTGCTTCCTTTTTGCTCATGAAATACCTTATAGCTGCATGATCAGAAAAAAGTAATTTTAGTGCCAAGCAAATAAGATCTAAATTTTTCTAAAGCAAAAATTATAGCAAAAAGTTTTTTTTCCATAGTCGAATAATTTTTTTGGGCCGAGTCCAAAGTTTGGGACGCATAGGCTATGACATGTGGCTCTTTCCCTATTTTCTGACCGAGAATGGGTCCAACGCTAGTATCTGATGCGTCACACATAAGTTCAAAGGGGTAATTCCAATCTGGCGGCTGAACAATTGGAGCTGAAATAAGTTTTTTGTTTAATGAATCGAAAGACTCCTTGCATGTAGAATTAAAGTCAAAGTCTTGATCCTTTTAAAGAAGATTGCATAAAGGTTGTGCTATATTCGAAATGTCTTTAATAAACCTGCGGTAAAATCCTGCATAACCATGAAAAGAACGAAATTCCCTCATAGTGTTGGGGTAAGAAAGTGAGCGTATAATATCTGTTTTAGCTTTATCAACCGCAATCCCTTTGGAGGAAACAATATGACCTAAAATTAAACCTTTATCAACCATAAAATGACATTTTTCATAGTTTAAAACAAGGTTATATTCTAAGTATCTTTTAAGCACATTAGTTAAATTATCAAGACATTCGTTAAAAGAATTACCATAAATCGTGAAGTCATCCATAAAGACTTCGATCCCCTTCTCCACATAGTCGAAAAATATACTTAACATGCATCTTTAGAAGGTGGCCGGTGCGTTACAAAGACCAAAGGGCATCGTCTATAGGCAAATGTACTGAAGGGACAAGTAAAAGTTATTTTTTCTTGATCCTTAGCGCTACTGGATTTGGAAAAGCCTGAAAAACCATCAAGGCAACAATAATGAGTTTCCCCAGCTAATATTTCTATCATTTGGTCTATAAAGGGAAGAGGAAAATGATCTTTTCGAGTAAGAGAGTTCAACTTCCTATAGTCAATACAAACTCGCCATCCATTTTGAACTCTTGTTGACACTAACTCCCCTTCTTGATTTTCGACCACTGCGACTCCCGTTTTCTTGAAAATCACGTGAATTAGACTTACCTAATTACTATCCGATATACGATAAATTACGTCAGCATCAAGGAGTTTCTAAATTTCCTTCTTTACTACCTCCATCATCGGTGGATTTAATCGGCGTTATCCTTCTCGTGATAACTTTTCTCAATCTTTGAATTTGATATTGTACATGCAAGTCGAGGGACTTAATCCTTTAATGTCGGTGATGGTCCATCCTATGGATTCTTTGTGAGAGCGCAACACTACTACCAAAGCTTCCTCTTGTCATTCGGACAATTTACTTGAGATGATCACTGATAAGGTTCCATTTTCGCCCAAAAGGCATATTTCAAATGTTTCAGCAATTGCTTCAATTTTACCTTAGGTACCTATAAAACAGAAGGTAAAATTTTAGTTTTATAGGAAGATAAAGAAAAATTAGAATTAATTGAATGAATATTTTAAAACTCCCTTTTTTCCTCTTCGAGGCAAAGTTCAGGATCATTGGAAATATTATAAGAAAGATTATATTCAATATATTCATCAATTAAAGGATCTATAACATCAACAGAATTAATTCTTTCAATATGATCCTGACATCTCATTGTTTTGTAAACATCAAATTCAACGATCTCACCATCAAATTCCATCGTCAGTATACCACTTCTAACATCGATCTTTGTATGTGCAGTGCTTAGGAAGGGTCAGCCTAAAAGTACCCCGGAATAAGTATCCGACCTGTCATTTTCCATGTCAATGACATAGAAATCTGCAGGAAAAAAATAATACATTGACTTTTACCATGACATTTTCCATCACTCCCACTAGATAGATCAACCAACTGTATGGTTATTCATGTTTCATTCAAAGGCTCGTTAGTAATCATTTTATAATTAAAAAATGACATAACATTAATTGAAGATCCTAAGTCACACATTGCACGTTTAATTTTAAAATCACATATTTTACAAGGTATAGTGAACATACCTTGATCCTTCATCTTTGGTGGAAGATTTCATTGAAAAAATGCAGAGACATGTTCTCCCAAATTTGCCTTTTCATGCCCCATTAAATTCCTCTTTGTAGTGCAAAGTTCTTTTAAAAATTAGGCATACCTTGGTACTTGTCGAATTACTTCAAGAATAGGTTTCTTGACTTGAAATTTTTGGAACACCTCCAAGATCTCCCTTTCTTCATCTCTTTTATCATGTTTCATCAACCTTGATGGGAAGGGTGGTGGCGTGATTTCATGAGAAGAAAGAGAAAGATGTGAGTCAGACGTACCTTGTATTTCTAGAGATGGAGTTTCCTCTTATTCTTCCTAATGTGCGGTTTTTCTGCTTGAAGTTTGGGTATGATAACTGATCCATGTGCGGAGTGTGATGGAACTAATATTCTCTCTCGGATTTACCGTTTGAGAATGTAGTCTTCATTGTGATTCCAATTTCCCCATAGTTTGAGCTAGTCAGCTTACTTGGTTATCTATCTAACTCTTGAACATGTGTCTCGGTTCAGCTTTGGAATTTTTCCTAGGATGCAATGATCTTTTCTTGGGATGTAACCATCTTTTCTTTTGAAATTGCTAACTTTCATATGATTTCTTCCATTAATGTCTTTTGTGTTTGCAGATGAAAAGGAGGTCTTGGTTGATAGGCTGGCTTTTGATTTGCCGCATAGCTGAAGTTTGGGTTGTCTCGCCATCCTGGATTGTAAGTATTGATATATGGGTTGTATTGTCTTTGTGGAGAACCTGGAAAGTTTCCTATGACATTGATTTATGCATTGCCTCCTTCTTGTATCAGCGGACAATAATCCGTCGGATGGTCTAGCTTCGTGCTTTTCCCACATGCTTTTGTTGCTCCAGATTTTCCTGCAACAAGTAAATTAACTACTTCATTTTCAAGAAAAATGTACTTATCTCGTGAACCCGTCGGCTGGGTTCACTTGAAAACTGTTGAGAGTTGGCTGCCATGGTTGAAATAAATTATCTCACTGTTGTTGGGGTCATGTTGACTAATGTTCCTCCACTGGCGGCATCTACCATTTTCATCTCCATTGGTAAAAGACCCTCACAAAAGTATTGAATAAACATTTTCTCACTTAATCTGTGTTGCGGACAATGTATGCAAAGCTTTTTAAATCATTCCCAATAGTCTTAAAGACTTTCTTTGCTCTTTTACTGAATGGAAAGAATGATCTTTCATAACTTGTTTGCTTTAGCAGTTGGAAAGAACCTGTCAAGAAAAATTCTATTCATGTCAGCCCATGAATTAACTGAATTTGGAGGTAAATAAAATAACCAATCTTTAGCCATGTCGGCTAAAGAGAAAGGGAAAGATCTCAATTTAATTTGATATTCGGTAACTTCTTGTGGTTTGATGCTAGTGGAAACCATGTGGAATTCTAACAAGTGTTTGTGCGGATCTTCAGTGGGAAAGCCGTGGAAAGTGGGAAGAAGATTAATAAGTCCCGTCTTTAATTGAAACGGAGTCCCGCCACTAGGAAAATTAATGCATAATGGCGTCTGAGTGACAGGAGCTATGGCTAGCTCTCGGATCGTTTGTTCTTCTTCTGCCATCGAGATTTGATCTTCGTTATATGCGTCTGCTTTAGAGTTTGTCTCTGAATTTGATTATGTTTCTGAACTTTGCTGTTGTTATTATTATCTTTTTCTCTTTTCTCGAAGCGTTTGTACGTGGATCCTTCATGCTCATGCTTCAATCTCCGGGTCTAGATATGCTAATTCACCTGAGTTTCTTCTGACCATAAATAAAAAACTAGAAAAATAAATCAGTACTTGCCGTTAGTCCCTAGCAATGGCGTCAATTTGATAACCATTGTTTTGCTATCAAAATAATTCCGGCTTCTTAATAAATAGGAAGGGAAAGTAATATAGAGAAGCAGGGTCGATCCACATGGAGTATGATTTTTGTGATTTAGTCAAACTCTTTGATTTCAGATGAAGATGAAAAGATATAATAAATAAATTAAATAATAATAATAAAAGGGAAAATATAATAATAATAATAGTAATAAAGATAAAAAGGGGTTTTAAAAGTTTTTTTTAAAATAAAAGATAAGAATTGAAATAAAAGAAAATAATTAAATAAATAATTTGAAGAGATAAAGAGAAACTTATAGTGAAAACAACCTCAGACTTCAGCTTTGCTTCAAATTCCTTGGATCATCAAAACTGATTTTTACTTCAGGATTCACGTCGGTTACTATAAGAACAATTCCTCGCTGCTGACTTGGATTATGTTGTTTCAACAATAACTGATTAAATAAAAGAAATAATTAAATAATAATTTGAAGAGATAAAGAAACTTATAGTGAAACAACCTCAGACTTCAGCTTTGCTTCAATTCCTTGGATCATCAAAACTGATTTTTACTTCAGGATTCACGTCGGTTACTATAAGAACAATTCCTCGCTGCTGACTTGGATTATGTTGTTTCAACATAACTGATTCAGATCTCCGTTTCCTCTTAGCAAACAATTTTGCTAAGTGTGTTCTCAGGAAGTTGAATGTGCTTCAATAAGTCAATCCTTCTTCCAACGTTAACCATAACAATATCCAGAACAATGTTGAAAATCGTTTTGATTTGAAAAATAAGCCCAGAAAACAATTCTCACAATTGGAATTTTGCATTCGCTTTAGCCCTTGGCTTAAAAGAAATTTAGCTAAGCATGACCAAAGTTATACTTAGCATATTTGAATAAATTTTAAAAGGAAAAATATGATATGTGAAAATTAGAGAAAGATAGAGAGAAAAGAAGATTTTATTCTCAGATGAGAGATATCTTTCCAGGCTTACCTTGAGAGGATATTATACCTTCAAATTCCTAAAAACAAGCTAAAGAAAATAACATCTTAAATCCTAATTAAAAACTTAAAACTATTTAAACTAAAATACCTAAACAATGATAAATAAATATTTAAATATTATCCTAAAACTTAATTAAAATACTAAACCTATTTAAACTAAAATACCTAAAAGAAAGATAAATATAATATTTAAAATATTATTCTAAAACTTGAGTTTAATCCAATCTGAATTGCAGGAACGTGCGACCAATTCATTCGTGCTTCTAGAAACGCTGAGTGGATCTTCTAGAAGGTGCTGACGTCATCGCCTCGTCGGATGTTTCATGCCCGAATTCATGCCCCTAATTAGCCTTGATTCTGAAAATAAAAAAGCTGCATAATTATTTCCTTTTAGTGTAATTTCCAGAATCTGACGTTTTACACGGAAAATGAATCAAAACGAACAAATAAACCACAAAAAACAATGATTAAAGAGTAATTTAAAATCAAAATATTAACTAAATTAATCACTTATCACCTACCCAGACAATATGTCACACTACAGACACTTGATCCAAAACACGACAACCTTAATACGATAAGCAAACACAGACTCACTTCAACTCCTGAAAAGCTTCTTGAGTTGCTTTGTTCCATTCGAACACCTCCTCTTTGCGAACCAAATCGGTTTAAGGGTGCTGCCAAAGTCGAACCCTTTAACAAACCTATAATATCCTAGAAAGCTTCTAATTTCTTTCTTTGTAGTTGGCACTGCCCAAGCCTGAATGGCTCTCACTTTACTCGGCTCACCAAGTGGCCTAAATATTCACTTGCTCTTGTTCAAAGGTGCCTTTACAACATTTTTCTAAAATCCTCTATCATTTAAAACATGTAGACACCTCAAAGGTGCTCCAAATTTCTTGTCAATCTTTAAATATATAGGTCAAAAAAATTCATTCATCGTTGCTTGAAACGTCGATGGGACATTAGTCTGCCCGAAGGGTATTACGAGGAATTCATAATGTTCCTCATCGGTGCAAAAGGTTGTCTTTGGTACATCATCGGACCTGACTGTGATGGTACCATGCTAAGAAATCAAGTTTGAAAAACATATTGAGATGCTCCATTCTCGTCAAATAGTTCATCTATTGTAGGAATCGAAAACTTATCTTTGGTAATGATAACGTTGAGAGCTCGGTAGTCTACGACCCTACGCGGAATCTCCACGTGATGTCTTTTTTTTAACTAACAAAACCAGGGAGGACTCCATCATTTGTTTTACATGACGTTTGATCTCACCCATTTTGAGAACATGGATACCGATACTATTTGACATTCACCGATGGCTTTGGTAATCTTCAATAAAATCAATACAGTTTCATATTGAATCAGGTATTGGTAATGGTTGCAACAGCCTATGACACGCTGCATTAATGTATTGACTGGCGGGCGTATGTGTTCTTCATGTGGAAACATTTCCTTGAAGTTTATGTCCTGATGGTCCATCTTGAAATTTATGTATTTTCCATATACGAAAAAATTTATGTCATTAATACATATGTGTCTACCCTAAAAATATTTTTGGATACAACACTGATCGTATTTCTACATTTGACATGTAGATCATCCTCGAATTAATTACTTGATTTCTCTATTGAGACCATTTCTTCGACAAATTCTAAATCTAATTCTAATTCTACCTAGAGAGGAAGGGTACTGTAGGAAAAAGATGAGGAGTGTTCCTAGTTATAGTTAGTGTAAAACCAATGACCTAAAAAAAATACAAGGGAACAATGATGAACACTTGGCCAGCTAACTATAATTGCTGAACTAGTCACCCTCCATTGTTGCTTCGATATCAGAACAACTTGATATCAGAATTGCTTTCCAATCCTAACCATATATATGTAGGTTAAGCGTCTGAATTTAGCTGAAGCAGTTGGGATAATTTAGTAACTCTCACCCAATACTTCTTGATCTGTTGCATAAGATGAGTGTTTAAACATGGTGAAAACATTGTACTCCACTATGGGAAACTCTTGAAAGTGAGTCTACCACCACATTGTGATAGGCATTTTCATACAAAACCTGAATCGTGACAGTCTTTCAATATAAAAAAGTTGCATCCCAATATCACATCGTCTTTATTAACCAACGTTGTTGAGTTGGTGCAGTAGTGTTTTGATCCAATGAGAATTTTAAGCTATCACGTTCAGATTTTGCATGAAAATATATTTACCCTATTTTTTTTCCATGCATTTTAATTCTTCCATTACTCGATTCGTAATGATATCCATTTACGCACCGCAAAAATTGTATTTATAAAATAGTTTAAATTTATTGTCCGAAACTGGAGATTTTATTTAATTTTAGAAACGATGAATGTTGTCCGAAAAGAAGAGCAGATCAGTTTCTTCAAATTTTAACATTTTAATATAGTAAAAACGTTGTCCAATGTACCATAATACAGTAAAGTTACTAAATTTGGAACTGGTAAACAAGTATATAACTCTTTCCGATCTCTTCTCCCAACACAAGCGCAAATAGGGCTTCAATGATAGTATCAAATTGGGTTTTTCTTCTTTTAAAAATATTTGATACTAATCTTTGAGTCGGCAAAATCATTTCTTTTTCTGGGAAAAAAGAGCAGAAGCCAAATGAGCATGGAGGAAGAAAATGATGATACTATGGATATGTGCATTGTTGGTGAGCTCAACGCTGGTTGAAGACGCCAATGCTATCAAACTAAAAGCCATTATAAAGAACTGGGAAAAACACTGAGGAGGCCTGTTCAAAATCAGGGGACGTGTGGAGTTCCGAGAGTGAGTAACAACCATGTCAGGATTCCGACTGTAACAGAGACTTAAGGTGTG